GCAGGATCCGGCCCCAGGCTCCCCCGCGGAGGCCAGGGATGCGCTGCGGGGGGCCCCGCGAAGACTGAGCGCCCCCTCCCTCGGGGGGCTGGAGGGCCGGAGCCCCCCCGAGGGCGACGCCGAGGGTCCCGGTGCCCTGACCCTTCCCCCAGCCCGCCGGGCTGACACCTGGCGCCGAGCCGATGCATCACAGGTGAGCCGGGACCCCGCCCCCCGAGCAGGTACCCTCCCCCCCCGCCAGCCCCCCAAGGATGCTGAGGGTCGGGGCGCGTGCGGCCCCTCGAGCCTTTTGTCTGAGGCGCAGCTGGGGGGTCCCCGCCGGGCTGGGGTCCGCGCCTCCCAGCTCCAGGGGCTGGGGTCGTTTGATGGGCATCCGGGGACGTCCGCCCTCAGCCGTCTCCTGGTCCAGCGCCCTCGCCTTTCCGCGGACTTGCCCAAGTCACGCCGGCACACCTGGCGAGTGCCCGGCGGGCCGGGGGTCAGGCCTCCCGCTTCTCGGGATTCCCGGCGCCTTTCCAAGAGCTGCAGGGCGGAACTCGGGAAGCCTTCTCGCTAGACCCTGGTGCATTTGTCTTATATTTTTAACCCTTTCATCCTAATTCCACAGAACATTTCTTTCATTCTTTTTAAATTTCTCCCTAAAATTTTCCCCCATGGCACATTTTTTTCATTCTTAATTTTTTTTCCCTCCATAGGACATTTTCTTCAGGTAAATTTAGATCTTGGTGTTTCTATCTTACATTTTTGTTGTTACCATATGGCATAACTTTCCCCTTTGCCCCCATGGGGTCTGGCTTGATGTGCAGTAAAGAAAGTGCTGGTGTGAACACGTCATGCTAATGCGTTAAGCTTTCACTGTAGTACCAAGGAATAGGTGGTACAAGTTTCAGGATTTCAGGCCTCTTCTTAACCGAGTTGTCTTTGAGAGAGGAAAGCCGGGATCAGACACTTCCCACACATTGACATTGGGTTCCTTCATATCTTTATTTTGTTAAATACTTTACAATTCCATTTTAAGCTGGTTGTTTGCTATGTTTGACATCTCTGATTTAGCGGATAAGAGTCCTGAATTTGGGGATGGGCAGAGTTGGGTTCAAGTTCTGTAAGTCATTTACTAGTTGTATGATTCTAGACAAGTTATTGATCCTCTCTGTGCCTTAATTTCCTTATCTGGGCTCCCTTTCCACTAGATCTATGTTCTTATGATGTAAGTAAAGGTTTGCATTGGGAAGGATTTTTTTGGGACCAAACCTCCTTCGTTCATTGGTCTTAACTCCCAGCTACCGAACTCCCTTTGCCAATGCAGATAGACATCTGCTGTACAACACCAGAGATGTGTAGCCAGGAAGTGTCAAAGAAGGGGCTTGAATCCAGGTCTTTTGGCTTGCCTCTCTTTGGGGAAGGCAGAGCAAATTACTTATTGACAGATGTGCTTATTTAAAACTATCTTTGATTTTGCCAAGTAGGCAGTGATGAAATCAGTTGTTTGTAACCGACGTTATGTTTGTGAAGGGAAGGGTACAGGTTTGAGGGCTAGACTACCCAGCTTATGCACACCCGGCGGAATCAAAAGCGGCTCTTGTGGAAGGGAAAGGAATGAGCCCAATTGGAGAGGAGAGGAGAAGACGACAAAGCGAGTGTCTGATGTCATGGTGATGCTTGGCTTCTCTCATGCCTTCTACCTAAGGCAGCCATTGAAGGCAGATGTGGGCCAGATGGGAATGTGAGATGAATTCCTCATTTCACAGATGAAGACACTGGGCACTTCTTTGTGTAGAGTACTCAGTGCCCTTAGCTTCTGGCTGCCCAAGAAAAGTTGTCCCATCTCCGTGAGTCACTCCCCAACAGCATCTGCTGAGCCTCCTGCCTCCCCGTTAAGCTCTGGTCTGAAGATGCCCAGGAGGCCACAGCCCATTTCACTTCTCTTGCCTTAAGGCTAGCTGGCTGGCTTGCTTAGTCCTCTCCTCCTTCAGGAGTGGGTTTTCACGACAGGCGTTGGAGCTGAGGGCTTTTACCAAATGTGATCATGCTAGCAAAGGGGCCGCAGCCATATTTACGTCAGGAGCCGTAATGGCATTAGAATTCTGTTGGCTTTCTTGTCTTGTTGCTGATGTCATGTCCTCCAGAGGAAACTTGACAGCAAAAAAAATGATGTGAGTGAGCTACTTTAAACTCACAGAATAACCAAAAGTTAAGTCAGTATCTACTTTTTTTTTTTTTTTGGACTGAGAGAGTTTTATATCCTAGCTCAGGATACGTTGTAGCACGGAAGCTGTCCAAACAATGCAGCATAATAATGATAGCTTTTCTGTAGCACCTACTATGTGCCAGGCACTGAGTCCTGTGCTAACCTCAAAGGGTTAACATGACTAGCACATGGTCTCTGGTCTCATAGAGCCTATAATCTAATAATGGGGCTGTGTTACATACATGAAGAAAGATAATATCAAATAGAATTTGATCAAGGTCCTATCTGAAGTCCTCAGAAAAGAAAAACATTTCTGGCCAGGGCATAGGAAGGAGGTGGCATTTGAACTGGGTTTGGAAGGATGAATGAGGTTTTAAAAAACAGAGGTAGGATGGGGAAGGGCATAACCAGGGCTGGAAATAAATGGTGTGAAGGGGATAGGGAAAATATGGGACAGATAGTGGGGGTGTTCAGTTTTGCTTAAGTGTGCGGTACATAGTGCAGAGTGGTTAGTGCAGCATGAGAGAAAACTGGAAAGATATGGCGGCCCCAGATAGTGGAGTCCCTTGAACACCACATGAAGCAGGGAGTGTGAGTTTGATTCAGGAGGCAGTTGGAAGCCATTGGAGGCTTTTGTGGAGAGGAATGGGCTCTAATACATGCAGAGGAGGATTCATTTTGCCTGAAGGCCGGGATCTGTAGGGAAGGGAAGGGAGACCAGATCTGAAATTCTTGGACTAGGACAGGGAACTGGGAATGTAAATGGAAGGAGGTATGTCGGTCTGTTGTGGACATAGGAAAGACAGGATTGGTGCCTGGTAGGAAGGGGTAGATAAGGGAAAGGGAGGAGCCAGAGGTAACATGGAGAAGGGTGTGGGTGACTGACTGGTTCAGTGGTGGGCCTGTATCTTAGTATTAGGAGACCAGGAGTTCTATGTTTTGGGGGGGAAAAGAAAACAAATTCATTATTGTCCATGTCAGGTTTGAAGTTGGTTCCAATGGGACATCCAGGAGTAACTGTCCAGTAGGTATTGGGAAGCGTAGATCTTGGGAAGCCTTGGGCTTTTGCTGCCTTTCCATTAGGGGGAATAGGGTTCGCACTGATTTATATACAGTTTATTGCCTGGTCCAAGGACACACACTGATTTTTATAAACAATTTTTTTTTCTAAATTACATGGAAATAAAAATTTTTAACATTTGTTTTGTAAAATTCTGAGTTCTAAATTCCCTGCCTTCCCTCTTGTCTCCTCGAGAAGGCAAGGAATTCGATATAGATTATACATGGGTAGTCATATATTCCATTTCTAATATTAGCCATGTTACAAAAGAGAACACAGACACCGCCCCCCCCCCAAATGCCCAAGAATAATAAAGAAAGAAACAAAAAGTCTGCTTTAATCTGCATTCAGACTCCCATCAGTTCTTTCTCTGGGGGTGGATAGCATTTTTCATCATAAGTCCTTCAGAATTGTCTTGGATCACTGTATTGCTGAGAATAGTTAAGTCATTCATAGTTCATCATTGTACAATATTGCTATTACTGTGTACAGTGTTCTCCTGGTTCTACCCATTTCATTTTGTATCAGTTCATCAGTCTTTCCAAGTTTTTCTGAGAGCAGGATGCTCTCAGATAATAATAATAAATAATAAATTTCATTTATTATAGCACGGTAGTACTCCATCTCAATCGTGTACCACAACTTGTTTAGCCATTCCCCAGTTGATGAACATCCTCTCAATTTCCAATTCTTTGCCACAACTAAAGGAGCAGCTGTAAATATTTTTGTACATCCAGGTCCTTTTGGTTTGATCTCTTTGGGATACAGACCTAGTAGTGGTATTGCTGGGCCAAAGGGTAGCCCCAGGGGCACCCATTTATGACTGGGTGAAGTCTCTGACTTTGGAATGCAGTGAAGTTAACTGGCCCATGAATATTTAAATAGTCCACCTACCTCAATATGATTACACCACCACTTTCTTTGGCTGCCCCAGATAGCTATGAGATGCGTTAAGGAGAAAAGTTCATGAGCCTTAAGAGATATTTTATTTAGATTATTTTAGCTTGTTGACTTCTAGAACTAAATCCTCTTTGGGGTTACCTTTTACTCTTGGGCACCAGGTTTGGTGTGTGCTCGGACTAGGAGGCAGGATTGCTGTGATTTCTAGTGGCCCAGAAAACCCCTTGAGCTAGTGAGCTTCTCTTGGTGTTGCTGTCTGATCTCTTTGGTGCTGATGCTGGTGAGATATTAGCTAGAGATTAGTTCTGCTCTGAACCGATAAGTCATTGATGGTAACCTTTTATTGTTTATTCATCCATAGCCGGACCACGGTTAATGCCAATGACAAGTTTTCTTAATGACTGTGTGGAGTGGATGGGCTAGATTTCGGGTCTAGGGTATATGAGGTCTCTCCAGAGTGTTTGTCTGTAGACCAAAGAACCTTTGAAACGTTATTACGTTAGAGGAAAGTGCGTAGCATTTTTGTCTTCAGCTAACTTATGGAGATGAAGACATAATAGCGCCTGACATAAAGGGCCTGCCATTCCCTCCCTGGAGCCTCGTGACAGCCCTGACAGGCAGACATGACGTGCTTCTGTCACTATGCCCATTTTACAGGTGAAAGAGCTGAGCCCCACAAAAAGGCAGTGACTCGGAAGCCCAGGGCCTTCTTTCAGACTCCCAGTTCAGCACTGTCTTCCCTGCTTAATCCCGATCTCAAAGATGATCCTCCTGCAGAAGCTGATAACTTCTCAACACCTTGAAGGCTCACGATTTCCTGTGTAATGTTGTTCTGCTCTCAATGGGGAAAATACTGATGCAGACCTTGCAGGCTGGCAGTTTGGTTGTTTATTTTTGTTTTAAACCCATCTGTAGGATTGAATGGTTTGGCTGAACACAAAGGTCATTTTCAGAAAGAAATGGATACTCTGAGTGAAAAGTTGTGGATGGCGTTTTTCTCCTTGTCTGGGCGGGCAGCCTGTGGGCGTCGCACCGTCTGATTCCAATGGACCCATGTGAGATGCTCCAGTGAAGTACTCCTCATTCCCTGGGCATCAGTGCTTTCATTGACGACTGTTTGTGCTCTTTCCTAGAATGAATGAGATGAACCTGAGTCCTGTGGGGATGGAGCAGCTCGCTTCATCCTCAGTAAGCAATGCCTTGCCAGTCTCAGGAAGTCACCTCGGCCTGGCTGCCTCCCCTACTCACAATGCCATCCCTGCCCCAGGTGAGTGGTGAAGTTCTGCCAGAGGAGCAGGTTGTCTGTCCTGACACGTAACTGTTTTCCATCAGGCTCTGGGTGGTTCCCTAAACCGGTAGGGGTGTGGGTGGGTGGATGGCAAACACAACGGCATTATGCCCTAATAGGTCATGGTGCATTTTCAGGAGGTGGGGTGAGGGGGAGAGGGTTCTTCCTGCCCAGGACGAGGGCTTTCTGGCTGCTGTCCTGGGCTTGGTGTCATCAGGAGGCAGGTGGGGAGGGGCTCCCGACAGCTTCGGCCAGCAGCTTCCACCTCCTTCTACTTCCGGACTCTGACTTTCTAATTTCATTGGAACACATTGGATCTGAGTAAGCAGATCTGGTGACAGGCAGATCGAAATGATTTTTTTTTTTTAATCTGCCTACTTAGATAAGGAAAGACTTTTGGTTCTAAGTTCTCACATTTCTTAGATTTTGAAGGTGGATTTTACTGATGCTTAAAATCTCTTACACACGTTCTATTGATTACAGGATCATTGATTTAGAATCTAGTCCAGCTCTCCTTTTACAGAGGAGGAAGCTGTGGCCCTCAGCCGAGAGAAGTGCCTTGCTCAAAGTCTCACAGGAAGCGAGTGGCTAAGCCAGGATTTGAACCCGTGTCCTATGACAGCATCCTTTTTTAATGCCTCTTTGTTCTCTGCAGAATCTCTTTGAGTCATAGAACATTGGCACTCCAAGAAACCTCCAAGGGCCTCCATGCATTCTGAGCCTTCCTTGACTCTTCTGTCTTGTTCAACCTGCCAGTCCCTGATCCATTCAGGGATCTGAATGGATCTCAGAGAGGCCCCCAGCATAGTGAGGAGTGACGTGGCCAGACATGACATAGTCAAGTCTGTCCACGTTTGCCTCCATGGCAGTTTGCGTCTCCATCACTTTCCACCCAGGCCACACCCATCCTCCTTCTTGCCCAAATCTGCCTCTCCCTTCTGCAATACCCCTTCCCCTAGCTACTGAAATAACCGCTGGGCTTCCAAAATATCCTACAAATCTTATCCTCTTTGGGCATCACAGCAACCCTGGGAAGCAGGTGTTACTGTCTCCATGTTACAAACTGAGCCTTAGGGAGCTTCAGTGACGTGTCCATAGAGCAGCTAGGCTACCTGCATAATCGTCTTCCTAAAGCACACATCTGACCATGTTCCCCCCAACTCAGAAGTCCTCAGTGGCTCCTTTTCGCTTCTGGAATAAATGCAAACCCGCCAGCCTGGCATTTAAGGCTTCATAGTTGGACTGTAGCCTCCACTTTCCAGATGCTGTCCCAGGAACTTGGTGTTCCATCTCTCACTGTCATGCCTTTGAAGGGCTTGTCCGTCTAGCTTTGACAGTCCTGGGCCTCGCTGGTCCCAGTGCCACCTCCTCCATGATGCCTTTCCTGATTCCCCAGTGGTTCGAGCTCTCAGGCTCCTCTGTCTGTGTGTTGTGTCCCTAAGAGATGTCAGCTCCTCGGGGCCAAGGACTTTATCCTTTTTTGCTTGTTTCCGTAGTACCTCGCACAGGACCTTGTACATAGTAGGTGCTTAAAACTGGCTCAGTTGAATCATCAGCCATTCTATTTTGTGGAAGAGAAAGGAGGCTTAGAAGCACCGTCCCCTGGCCAGGGCTCCCCCACTCCATGATATCTGTGACAGGCAGAGAACAAGGGCCCCCCAGCCTTGAGGAACAGTCTCTCTCCTGTGCCTGACTGTAGGACCCTGATGAGCCCACTCAAGGAGAGGTCACAGGTGCCGGGGACTTGTATAAAGCCCTCCACTTACTTGAAAACTGTGTGGTCAGCCAGCCTCCAGAATCAGTGGAGCACAGCTCACATCAGGCAAAGCGTCTTTTCATTCCCGCTGTGCCAGAGATAAGGCGGGGGCTGCTGGAGGGGTGCGGTAGGGGGACGCGCTCTGCTTCTGAAGCTTCCCGGCGCTCCCCTGGAGGGGGCACATTCGTGGGCAGAGATGTGACCTTGTGCCGCTCACTCCCCACTTACGCCTCCAGCTCTGAGATTCTGTTCCAAAACAGACTTTGATTGGACACGCTGTGCTGTGTCTAAGGTGCTGTCTTTGTGCCCAAATGGGAAGTACATCACTGTCTCAGAGGACCTGGGTTCAAATCCTGCTTATTTCATTCACCTGTGAGACCATGGGCAGCTCACGGCCCTCCTGGGCCTTGGGTTCCCCTTGTTTTGGAACGAGGGGGTTGGGGGTTACATGGTCTCTAATGCCTTAAAAGTAGCAGGTTTTAGTTTAAGATTTTTAATTACGTTGTGTGGATATTCACCATTTACTTTTATCTGAATTATCTTTGAATAATTAGCTTATTGGCACTTCAAATCATCAGGATCATTTTGACTCTTCCTGGTTATTGCATAACCAGCATTAAATCTAAAAAACGTGACTCTGGATCCCTGAGTGAGGAGCTGGAGTTTGGCCCAGTTTCACTGTAGCACCATTCGTGGGAGCCGCTCTAAGGAGGGAAGGACAGGCGTTTTTCAAAGCAGAACTATAGGTGGGATAGTTATTTATTTGCTTATGTCTAATGAGGAAGTCTCTCTTTCATCTGACTGGGAGAGCTGGCCTCCGAGCTAAGATGGCCAGAGCGTCATTCCCTCCTGGGGACGTATGCAGGCTCAGTGACCCTGGGCAAGCCATGTCACTCCTCACTACGCTGGGGGCTTCTCTGAGATTCTAAAGTGGAGAGACGTCATTGACCTGCTTTAGGAGAGAGTGTTCTTAACAGGGCCAGTCCGTATCCCTATGGGGGGGGGGGCAGTTGGGGTTAAGTGACTTGCCCAGGGTCACACAGCTAGTAAGTGTCAAGTATTTGGTCTCAGGCTGAGTTTGAACTCAGGTCCTCCTGACTTCAGGGCCAGTGCTCTATCCACTGTGCCTCCTAGCCGCCCCCCCCCATATCCCTAATTTTAAAAATATATTTGATTGGGGCCTGTGGTTTCTATATCCCAGTCATTGTCCTGGCCCTCCAGATCAAACTCAGCCTATTTTGACAGAGAAAAATGGTTATGCCAAAGCATCAAATACAGAGACGTGGTCTGATCATATGTATGGGGCTCTGTCCTAGGCGTCCCCACCTCTCTTAGGCAGGAGGAAGTAGGTTTAGTTATTTCTTCTCTAGGTAAGTGGGATTTTTATTGATGGACACAGATTTCTGAGATTTTAATGAATGTTTTTCAAGGAGATATTTGAGAGTTTTAATTTGCTTTTTAAGGAAACTTTTCTTTTTTTCCTTTTTTTATCCCCCAGGACTGCCAGTTGCAATTCCAAACCTCGGTCCCTCCTTAAGCTCTCTGCCTTCCGCCTTGTCTCTGATGCTCCCAATGGGCATTGGCGATCGGGGGGTGATGTGTGGGATACCAGAGAGGAACTACCCTCTGCCACCCCCGCCGTACCCACACCTGGAGAGCAGCTACTTCAGGCACATTCTGCCCGGTGAGTCCCCTGACTGGGCAGCAGGCTCCCGCAGGCAGGGGGAGCCTTTGTCTCTCTGTCTGCCACAGGCTTCCTTTTGTTTATCTAACCACCTCGAACACTTTCATTTTATTCAGGGCTTTTCTGCCTTCCATGAACCTGTTTATAAAAAATATTTCAATCGCTATATTTCAGCCTAATTGTTTTCCTTTGTGATCCTGTGTATTTTATTTAATGCATTTAAAAACGATTCTGAGAGGGGAGTGGCCAGGAGGCTGCACCGGACTGACTGTCTGAGAGGCCCAGGACACCCCAGTGGTGAAGAGCTCCTGGTTTCAGGCAGAGAGCCTGCACCTTCAGGCATCCAGCCGTGTGCTTTTGCCCAAGTGTGGCCCGAGAGTTCCTGACAGCATGGTGGGGGAGCAGCCCCCAGCTGAGCCTCTCTCCTCCCCCCTTCCACTGCAGCGCTGGCTTCGGGCTGCTTTTATAATTTGGGAATGTCTTCTACTACATACCCAGCCTGCTGGGGGTGGGGGTGCTTTCAGGGAGGCCGTAGCAGGTCTGGCTGCTTGCGAGTTTAAAAATGTCCTTCTCTGGGTCTTCCTTGTTTCAATTAGTCAGTCAACAAGTGTTTATCAGGCGTTTAGTCTATGCGAGACCCTGTGCTGGAGGCTGGTCTGCTGCTGGAGCATCTGTCCCTTCAGAGCAGCATCTTTCATTGCAGCCCGGCGGAGGAATTGTAAAAATAAAAATGCCCACCAAGTCCAGCCAGAGGTTGGGGCGTTTAGGTCATTTTTATTCTACTTTAATTCTCACCTCTCAGCGAAGAGTCTCACAAGAACAGACTCATGTTTATATTTACATTAATCCTTGAAAAACAAGCTTATTTTTATTAAACTGGAAAAAACCATCCAGACCTTCGTAGGAAAAATTGTAGCCAGAGATTGTAGTGTGTGTATGTTTGTCAGTGCAGGTGCTGCTCAGGTATTGTTTGGAGAACATTCGTGTGTGCCCGGATACCACCAGACCCCTCATTTCCTGTCTCTTTCCTTCATCAGGCATCTTATCTTATTTGGCCGACAGACCGCCTCCTCAGTACATCCACCCGAACTCCATCAGTGTGGACAGCAATCCCGCACTGGCCGTCTCCAGTAACCCCTCGGCGTTAGACCCCTATCAGCCCAGCGGCAGCGTCGGCCTGGAGCCCGGCATCGTCCCTCTGGATTCCCGGGCAGTCAGTGCCCACGGGGCCCAGAGCCTCCACGCTGGTGACGGCCACGAGGTGGCCCTGGACACCGCCATCACCATGGAGAGCGTCTCCAGGGTGACCAGCCCCATCTCCACAGACGGCATGGCGGCCGAGGAGCTGACCATGGACGGGGTTGCAGGGGAGCACTCACAGATGCCAAATGGTTCCAGAAGCCACGAACCTTTATCCGTGGACTCAGTTGGTAGCAATTTGGCAGCAGACCCTGTGGGACATGGGGGTGTGCTCCCTCTTCATGGGAATGGCCTGGAGCTCCCTGTGGTCATGGAGACTGATCACATAGCGGGACGAGTCAGTGGGATGCCCGACAGTGCCCTCAGTGATTCCATCCACACCGTGGCCATGAGCACCAACTCCGTCAGTGTGGCCCTGTCTACCTCACACAGCCTTGCCTCCCTGGAGTCCGTTTCCCTGCATGAAGTGGGCCTCAGCCTTGAACCCGTGGCTGTGTCCTCCATCACCCAGGAGGTCGCTATGGGGTCAGGCCACGTAGATGTGGCTTCAGACAACCTCTCCTTCGTGCCACCATCCCTGCAGCTGGAAGACTCCAACTCCAACAAGGAGAACATGGCGACCTTGTTTACCATCTGTGAGTGTGCCCAGTGGGGGTAACGGTGGCATCATCACCCCACCATCTTAGCAAACAGCTCAGCGTGGAGGTGGGGGAACATGAAACATGTCTAGAAATCGGAATGTGTTCTTGAGCTCAGATTGGATTTTGTGTTAAAGTACTACCCCCACCCCCTTTTCACAATGGCTTAGAGATTATTTCAGATGTTTCCTTTATCCTAGGAATATCTTCCTGTGGTGTGGGTGTGAAATGGCAGGCTGCCCTTTTTACACATAAGCAAAGACCTAGGACGGTTTCACCTAAATTCCAGAAGCACATCTCAGGTCCCATAGTCTCCATGTGAGGTCACGTCGCTTTTTAGCACGAGATAAGAGACAATTTCTCAAAGCTATTTGTACTATAAAGCTTTAGTGAGGAGAAGCGTATGCCTGAGAGTGCTGCGAAGAGGGCAGACTCTTCCTCAGGAATCTTCAGAGGGGACCCAGGCACCCCATTCGGTGGCCCTGCCCCCGAGGAGCCCGCCAGAAGGAAAGGATCAAGGAAAAGCCCGCGCAGGGGTGGGGAGTCTCTGGCCTCAAGGCCATTTTTAGATCCTCAAGGGCGGCTTGTTGACTGAATCCAAAGTCAAAGGCCGTACTTCAGGGTCTAGAAGGCCACATGTGGCCTCAAGGCCACAGGTTCCCCACCGCTGGTCTAGCGGCTGGTGGGTATCAGGGGGTGGATATTGGAACCTGAGAGAGGAGCTTGGGCCCCTGAGAGTATCACGTACAGACTCATCCTGGATGTAGGAGGAGAAAGTAAGCCATCCGTTTACTTACCTAAATCTTGATCTTTTCTGAGTAGGCAGCCTCAGCCCCATGCCGTCAAATATCTTTAAATTCTAGAATCGGAATCCTGTTTGAGAAGAGGACTCGGCTGCCCTGATCTCAGTGCCACTGATCCCCGTAGGACCCTGGCTGTTGGAAGGGGCCTTAGAGGCCGTTGCGGCCACATCATTCGAAGGGGAGGCCCCCATTTTACAGATGAGATAACTGAGGCAGAGTTGAAGTGACTTGCCCAGGGTCACCCACCTAGTGGAGGTCTGAAGTAGAATTTGAACTTGGGATTCCCTGATTCCAAGTCTGACACAGCAGTTCTTGGGAGAAACACTTGAGTTGGAATGTGAAAAAACAGAAGCACAGAAGGACCCTCCTTGGCAAAGCAAGTCAGTTTGAGAAAGGAGAGAGAGCAAAGAAGCCGTACCTGGGAGGCAGGGGAGTAAGCATTTCTAGAGTGCCCATAGGGTGCCGGGCACTGTGCTGCTAAGCGCTTTACCATTATTTGCTCTTCTGATCCTTCCCACAACCCTGGGAGGAAGCGGCTAATTATCCCCATTTTAAACTGAGGCCGGCAGAGTTGAAGTGACTTGCCCAGGGTCCCACAGCTACTAAGTGTCCAAAGCTGGATTTGAACTCTGCTTTTCCTGACTCCAGGTCCAGTGCTCTGTGCACTGTGGTAGCACCAGCTGGATAGAGTTCTGAGACTGAAGTCAGGAAGGCCCGAGTTCAATTGCTGCCTTTGACACTTAGGCTTTATGGCCCTAGACAAATCATTTTACCTTTCTGCCTCGATTTTCTCTTCTAAAATGGGGATAATCTTAGCACCTGCCTCCCAGAGTTGTTGTGAGAGTAACATTTGTAAAACAGCATTTTATTATTATAAAGAGCTATATCATTGTATACAGCTAGGTCCTGATTAGTATGAATCATGAGTCTCCAGGAGTGGCCGCATTACTTGAAATCGCACTGCGTATTTCCATTGGACTGGAACCAATCGCCGTATTTTGTGTGATTATAAGTTCAGATAGTGTGAAGTCAAATACATGCCACCACTTTAGGAGACACCTTATCCACACTGAGTGGAACCTGGGTGTGAGTACTTTGCGAACTGTAAATCCCTATAGAAATGCTGACTGTTGTGATAAATATTATCATCATCTGAGACACTGGGTTGCAGAGTTTTAATCTGAAGTCCATCATCAGAACGTGGTTCCCACTTTGTTGATAGTTGAACTAAGGACAAATATGGCTCTGTAGACACTGAGTCAGTCATGCTGTGATGTCACCGTACACCAACAAGGTGGCCTTGCCAGGCCCTTGGGGACATCCCAGAGCTGCTTCCTGTGTGCTTTAGACCAGGCCAAGTGTGTCCAAGGGCACAGCCTGGAACTCAGTTCAATGCACTTTCTATAGGCAAAACTCTGTGGAAGGCCCTTGAAGGACAATGAAGTCAGGCCCCATCCCTGGCCTTGAGGGCAGGATGGGAACAAGGAAGGTGTACAAAGATTACTCCAAGGGGCAGCTGGGTGGTGCAGTGGATAGAGCACTGGCATTGGAGTAAGGAGGATCTGAGTTCAAATCTGGCCTCAGACACATAACACTCACTAGCTGTGCAAGTCTAGGCAAGTCACTTAACCCTGATTGCTTCACCAAAAAAAATTAAAAAAAAAAAAAAAGAAAGAACAAAGATTACTCATGTTCAGGGAAGACTGGGTAGTGTCAGGGTCCAGAGGACGTGTCCAATGGTGCAGTGTCAGGATTAGGAAGGCTGCCACAAAGGAGGGGCACCTGGGTGGGTCTTAGGTAGGGGATTGTACTGAGCAGGTTAGAGTGAGGGACGTGTTGGGAAGAACGTGGCACAGAAGAAAGACTTGACTGATAATGGGGTGATGTAGTCCAGTTTGGCTCAAACATACATCAGTGAAGGGGTGTGGAGAACCTTGAATGATGGCATAGATAAGCTTGTACTGTATTCGGTAGGCAGGAGGGACCCACTAAAGGGGATCAGGGGGAGGGTACAAATGATTTGAAAGTGATCATAATTCATATATTCAATCAGGTATTTGATTAATAGCGTAGGAGGAAGTATAAGCATTTATTAAAATACCCCTCCCTTGTCCATTACCTGTGTGAAGCCAGATTTTCTTCATATACTTCATCCACAACATATTGTGACAGATGGTATACAGAAACAGAGAGGAGAATAAAACTATACGATAAAGAGATTTCCAGAAGAATATAAAACCGTACCACCCTTCTCGATGAATTTTTTTTTTATTTTGGAAAGTAGTTATTATTTGTAAAAATATGTTATTTAAGTTAACATGTAATGGGTATATCATCATTATCATCATTTTTTTTGGAGTCAATTGGGGTTAAATGAGTTGCCCAGGGTCATAAGCTAGTAAGTGTCTGAGGCTGGATTTGAAATCAGGTCCTCCTGACTCCAGGGCTGGTGCTCTATCCACTGTGCCACCTAGCTGTCCCTTATCATCATCATCATTATTATTTTAAAGGAATGAATATTTTATCTTTTTTGATTTCTAATATAACCTGTTAGAAAAAAAAACCACATAGAAGCCTCAGTTTCCATCTTTTATCTATTTAACATTCTAAGAATGTTTTTACTATATTTTTCCCAAATACATGTAAAAACAATTTTTAACATTTTTTAAAAATTATTTTTGAACAAAAAATAATAATAATAATAATAATGATGAAATTATTTTTGAGTTTCAAAATCCCTTCCTCTCCTTCTCCTTCCTTGAGAAGGCCAACACTTTGATATAGATTATTCATGTGCAGTCATGCAAAACATATTTCCATATTAGCCATGTTACAAAAGAGAACACAGACCAAAAAAAAAAAACCTCAGTTGAAATAAAGTTTGAAAAGTATGCTTTCAAAAAAAAAAAGTATGCTTTCATCTGCATTCAGACTCCATCAGTTCTTTCTCTAGAGGTGGGTAGCATTTTCATCATAAATACTTTCAGAATTGTCTGAAATTATTGTATTGCTGAGAACAGCTAAATCATTCATAGTTGATTATTGTACAATGTTTGCTGCTGCTGTGTACGATGTTCTCCTGGTTCTACTTAATTCACTTTATATCAGTTCATGTACATCTTCCCAGGTTTTTACTTCACCAACAGTGCATTAGTATCCCAATTTTTCCACATCCCCTCCAGCCTCTGTTGTCTTCTTTTCTGTCATTAGCCAATTTGATAGGTACTGCAGAGTTGTTTTAACTTGCATTTCTGTAAACAATAGTGATTTAGAACAATTTTTCTTCCGAGTATAAATGGCTTTTGTTTCTTCTTCTGAAAACTGCCTGTTCCAATACTTTGACCATTTATCAATTGAGGAATGACTCATTTTTATAAATTTGACTCAGTTCTCTATAACATTTGAGAAATAAAACCTTTGGCAGAGAAACTTGCTGTAAAAAAAAAATATTTCCCAGTTTCCTGCTTCCCTTCTAATCTTGGCTGCATTGGTTTTGTTTGTGCAAACCCTTTTTACTTTAATGTATTCAAAATTATCCATTTTACATCTCATGATCCTCTCTATCTTGTTTGGTCATAGATTCTTCTCTTATCCATAGATATGACAAGTAGAGTATTCTGTGCTCCCCTAATTTGTTTACGATATCATCCTTTATTTCCAAATCATGTACCCGTTTTGATTGTGTCTTGGTGTATGGTTAATCTATGCCTAGTTTCTGCCAAACTGCTTTCCAATTTTCTTAGCTGTTTTTGTCAAATAGTGAATTCTTTTTCTAAGAGCTTGGATCTTTGGGTTTATCAAACCCCACATTACAGTGGTCATTTCCCACTGTGTCTTGTGTACCTAATCTATTTCACTGATCCACCATGCTATTTCTTAGCCAATACCAGATTCTTTTGATGATTACCACTTTGTAATACAGTTTGAGATCTGGTGTGGCTAGGCCATCATCTTTTTCATTTTTTTCATTGATTCCTTTGATATTCCTGACCTTTTGTTCCTCCAGATGAATTTTGTTACCATTTTTTTTAGCTCTATAAAATAATTTTTGGTGGTTAGATTGGCATGGCACAGAATAAGTAAATTAATTTGGGATCCTCAATTTTTAAGAATGTAAAGGGATTCTAAGACCAAAACGTTTGAGAACTATTGGCCTCAAGATTGAACAAAGGACGTGTCTGTTGATTAGAAGGAAATTTAAGATCTTGTCAGGCTCTGGAGAAGGATGTGCTACAGTCCCTTGGATGGGGATATGAAATCTTGATATGGTCATTCTGATAAGACTCAGCTTTGTACTCAGCTCAGATTTTATGAAAGTATTGTTTAAATAAAAGGCAGACCCTAGTCCCGCCTAGTTCCAAGATCCGTTTGGGCCTCGTTAAAATTGCCTCATCTCTTGTATCTCCAGGGTGCACACTTTGTGACCGAGCCTACCCCTCCGATTGCCCTGACCATGGACCCGTAACCTTTGTTCCAGACAGCCCAATAGAGAGCCGGGCCAGGCTGTCTCTCCCAAAGCAGCTCGTCCTCCGCCAGTCTCTCATGGTGGCAGATGTGGGTAAGAGCCATAACCCATGGCATGCTACCTGCCCGCTTCCTCCCTCACCACTGCCAGGTTGTAAGGATGGGAGCTGCAAGGAGATCATAGGAGCCCAGGAGGAACATTTATGGGATTTGGGGGTGGTGGGAGTAGCTGTTAAGTGTGACTCAGGTTTCAGTCATTATGAGAAAACTCACTTTCTCAGAGAACCATCTCATAAGTTGGTAGGAAAGAACTCTGCCCTGGCTGGGTCTTGATTCCCCACTGAAAGGTCAGGAGCAAGTTTGTCCTTCAGGCTTAGCATTCATTAGCAACATGGAAATGACACTATAAATATCCTCGATCTCAAGGAGTGTTTTGTAGATTAAATATTTGAGCGGTGCCTTGAGCGCCACAGACGAAAGGAATTGCTGGCTAGAATACATTTACCCCAATTTCACTTCAGTTAGGAAGTACACGAAGTAGATTTGGGTTCTGAAGTCATCAGTAGCCACTTTGCAAGTCCTCTCAAAACCTGCTAAACTTTCCTAGAAAACAACTGATAAACCTAAATTGTCCCCCCAAGGTGTTGGAAGCTCCCCTTTGTTTTATAGTAGTTGGGAGTAGAAGCATCCACAGCTGACATCCTTGGACTCATTTCTGAATATTTTGAGGGATAGTCAAGTTCAGGAATGTCTGATATCCCTTGTGAGATCTGCTTCATTTCTCTATCACTTTTCCCTATTTGTCAAGAGGGACTAACAAGTCTTAGCCGTCTGTCCGGTGTGGTGGGAGAGGCTGTGAAGCTCCCTGCTGAGACTCGGTACACGTGCCCGGCCCTTCTCTTTCCCCGCACCTTTGGGATTGGCTTCAAGCCTTTGATCCTTGGATTCTTCCTGCTGACAGGTGTATGGACTGGAGAAACCATTCCCGTGCGGACTTGCTTTGGGCCACTGATTGGCCAGCAGAGCCACTCTATGGAAGTAGCAGATTGGACAGACAAGGCGGCTAATCATATCTGGAAGGTTGGTGTTGGTGTGTGTGTGAGTTTTCTATTGCTTTTAAAAATTTAATGATTTGCACCTACCTCCCTTTCTTGAGGGGCAGCTAGGTGGCGCAGTGGATAGAGCAGCAGGTCTGGAGTCAGGAAGCCTCATCAATCTGTCTTTTGACACTTACTAGCTGTGTGACCCTGGGCAAGTCACTGAACCCTGTTTGCCTCAGTTTCCTCATCTGTAAAATGATCTGGAGAAGGAAATGGCAAACCACTCCAGGATCTTTGCCAAGAAAACCCCAAATGGGATCACAAAGAGTCAGACACAACTGAAAGGTTTGAACAACCCTTCCTTCAAGAGGTTGGGGACTGTGGATATGGAGTTACTACATCTACAGGCCGGCTCAGCCAATTTCTTGTCTAGTTTAACTGAACTGCTTTTTTCCCCATCGCTCTTATTTTTTGTTCCAAGGGATACCTCCATGATTAGGGAGGAGGGAACTACTTAGAAATGAAGGCGATGTAAAAACAAGAGATAATCTGTAAAAATTGACTTGCTCTAAAAAATAGATTTGTTAAGGTAGTTGTATGAAAGGTAGAAGGAAAGTGAAGTAGTCAAGATCCCTACGTTTACATAATTCTGCCACATAGAGCATTGGATTGTTTCTTGCCTTCTCTTTGCTACTAGGGCCTGGCAGCTGAGTGTGTATTACAAAGTGAAACCTAGGCAAAGATTTGGAAAGTAAACAATTTTAGCTGCCCCTCTGTGGGACATATTTGATTTCAGTTCCTATATTGGTCTGAATCTAGGCAGTCACCCAAAAACAAGATTTTGTTGTTGTTGTTGGAAGTAAAAAGGTTATATTGATAAATATTATTCTGCACCATGACCTTGTTTTGGAGTCAATGAATACCCCATGTATGCAGAGCCTGAATAGGCTTGTCGCAGATGAGGACGCTTCTGATGCAAATAGGGTCACTCTCTCTTGCCTTCTCCCACTTTCCCCCCTGCTTTTTCTCATGGCCTTCCTGACCCCATTGCAAACCCTGCCATGAGATCCCCCCCATCTCCAGCTTCTCTCCCTGGCCTGCTTTTCCACTGACTGACACTGAAATTCATGTTGTTTCCTGTGCTGCTGAGAGTAGCAGCCCCAGCACCATCTCTTTACAAGTGGGTAGTAGAAGCCAAATAATGGAAAAAGGAGAGGTCTTTGGGGAGAGGGATTCTTGGAGATCCCTTTCATCACTGTCCCTTGCAGTTCTCTGTAAGCCTCATGGAAGGGAGAGAGAGTAGATGGGCTTGGCAGTCAATTTCCTATCCGAAAGGGTCTCATGACACAATGATGCAGTCACTGGGGACACGCTCACAGGAAGTGCTCCTCTCCCTAGGCTTACAGTATCAGCAGCAGGGATCTCTACCCCAGGGTCTGTGCATGTGCACACGCGTCGGTGGGAAGGCAGCAGCGGCTGCTGCTTCTGGGGTCCTGGCCCTGTGCTCCTGAGGGACGTTGCTGGCCACCCACGTTGGGGTAGAAGAGCTCAGACCGCATTTGTACCTGGACAGTCCTGTGGCAGCACTGGCTGGAATCTTTACTGTCTCAGCCGGTTGTGTTCCACCAGGGAATTCCTCTCATTTTAAAGTTGATTTGTAGACAACTAAAATGAGGAGCTGAGGCTCTTCCCTCTTCCTTGCTCATGAGATCATCTGATGGGAAGATCCAGAAGCCCTAGTCAGTGATAATCCATCCTATCCATAACCACTTCTCCCTTTTTTTTTGGCCTTCTGCTGGCAGATGTACCACAATGGCGTCCTCGAATTCTGTATCATTACAACGGATGAAAATGAATGTAACTGGATGATGTTTGTGCGCAAAGCCAGGTGAGATGACTGTTGGTGTGAGGAGCGCTGGGGCCACCCTGAATGCTATTTCCTTGCCACCCCACTCTGAGGCCTGCAGGATGCGTATCATCCCCATTTCTCAGATGAGGAGACAGAGGATTTGAGGGGAGGTGAAAAGCCCATGCCTCCTGACTCCAATTGCAGTGGTTTTCCTTCTCCTCCACCATGCTTTCTGATTTGAATAGTAGGTTTAGGGGAAATCCACAGGAAAATCTAGGTTCACACATACTTCCAGAAAAAGGAGCTACCTTTAAGGTTTTTTAAACTGACCACAATATGTGTAGCAAGTAAAAATGATTCTGAGGCAGTTTTCTCCAGGACAAGAGAGCATTTTATTAAAAGTGACTTGTATACTGTTAGTGAAACAGTCTCACTGGCACCTCAGCAAAATGAGCATGAGCAATTTATTAGTCAGGCTAGCAGTAACCAATAATTTGGGTCAATTGCCTCCCCGAATGACCAAAGACCCCAAGTGAGGGCCAGCAGGGTCTTTTAAACCTAGGTGTGTCTTCCTTCTGATTGGCCCAACAGTCCATCATTGGGACCTCCCCCTGGGCAAAGGTAAGACAAGCCCAATTGGTAGGTGGGCTGGCCTTCAGGTGTGGATGCTCACACCCCTCCCTGGCAGTGAAGGAATGCTAATTGTTTGATGGGCATCAACTGCCTATAGTAATCTTGGTCAGAAAATCAGGACCATCCCAAATGGGATGCCCCTGGTTTTGTCTTCCTTGTGGAGACCAAGTCATCCCTAATTTCACCAAGGAGGCAGGACAGAAGAATAGTTTCTGGGGAGGGGTCCAGCCCCAGCCCAAAGCTGCTTAAAGATTTGACATTTCCTGAAGTAGACATGTAAGCTAAGGTTAAGAGTGCTTTTAAATTGGCATGGACTCCACCATCCTTTAGCCTTTTTGGACTGGCATTTACCCGTTTCATTCTTCACCTCAGATTCAAACCCCACAAAAGGAGAAACTTCAGTTTCATTACCTGTGACTGCCTGTGAGGGGAGTTAGCACATTATTATGTTGAGATATTTAGGAAACTCAAATAACTGGGAAATTGTAACTAACCCTCTTTAAGTTGTGTATATAAAATTCTGAACCCAATTTTTAGAACTTATTAGAACATACTCAAGGCCTTTGTATCCCATTAGAGTCATTTACATTTAACATACATCATAATCATCTGATCTTGTTGCTTTCTCAAAAAAAAATAAATTTCACTCTAGCTATTCCCTTCAGCTGCCCACCCCCCCTTAGGGGGTTGAGATGCTGCTATACATGAGAACATGTTTGTAAGTAGATCACGTCTGTGCCTAAGTTTAATGGCCACACTAATGAATTTACCAAAGAGATGCTTATTTTACTCCCATTGTAATGAAAGGCCTGGGAAGGGATGTGTAAATAGACCAAGTAATTGAATCCAGATTGTATCAAGTGAGTAGTCTGTAGTAACACATGTTCAGTTATTAACCATTGTTCAAATGAAAATAGAAGTCCTACCCACCCAGACCCCTGCTCTTATCTGCTCTCTAAACACGAGGGCATATTTAAGAGAATGTTTGTATAATTTGCTTGCATTTCAGAGCATGCCCCAAACACAAGTTCATTCCAAGGATCTAACTTTATACCTGAACATATAGTAGGCGTTAGCAGGCAGATGACAAACCCAAGGACTTCTTAACTTAGTTGTTTAGGACATGAAAAGGACTATAACTTTGGGTTAAAAAACTTAGATCTTACATACGTCCGTCCTTTTATAGTAACTTAGATGTGTTCTAGCATTAGTCTGGTAGATAAAGATTTAATGTTGTGTTCCTATCTTCTGCTGACTACTGCCATGATTATGGAAATTTGTTGCAAAAGGAAAGAAGGACATAGCTGTAGTAAGGAAAACATGTTTCCCTGAGCTTGGTGGCAGTTCCAGGCAGAAGTCATGTAGGCAGTCAGTGGTATTGACAGCCAGGCTCACAAGTAGCCAGGTGGGAAAATTTTCTGTTCAAAAGGAACTCTTGCAGGGGCAATCAGTTGGCAGAGTCCCACCTCAACCCATGCCAAAAGTCCCTCTCCCAACTGTTGCTGAAGCAGAAATCCACATGATCAGTCACTCTCATTGTGCTGCTGGCATAGTGGGTCATTGGCTCAATGACATTTCCTGGCGATCATACCTAGAATCAGTTAGAATAGTACCAATTATGGTCCCATAAAATTTAACCATAAATAGCAAGTTTTATTAATCATAGCTTAGGGCTGGATTCAGTTATTACTCTCATGTTGTTGAGAATAAGTAGTCTATATGTATATACATATATATACACACACATATATACACATATACACACATATCCATACGTACACATATATCCATACATACACATATATCCATATATATCTCTTAATTAAGTCCCTAAGACTGGAGTCTGGTAAGACTAGGTTAATTTAAGATATAACTTCAGTATATATGATTCCAGGTATATCTTCATAAATTCCGTAATCCCAAACCATCCTTTATACTGCTACCATAATATAAACTTTGTAAGAGTGTTAGTCATACAAGAGGTGATCTCATTTTCTCAATAACCACATTCTAGAGTTTTCCAGGATATGGGGGAGCCTTGTAGGATCAGTAGTCATTCCAGGCAGAGTAGTAAGTCACCGGGTGGCACTAAAGGGCCAGGTCACGATGCCTGAGGCCAGCCTTCCCTCTCTTCTAAAGTGAAAGGCTCACTAAAGCCAGTATGGCTCAGTGTTGGTGCTGAAGGGCACTTTTTTAAGTTCACAGGATGGTTGTACTTCGCAGCTCCAGAAGATGAGAGATTTTGCTACCAAGTTAAGATGTGGCTTTAATACAACTCAATTTAGGTAGAACTTTTTTTTATTTTTGGTGAGGCAATCAGGGTTGAGTAACTTGCCCAGGGTCACACAGCTAGTAAGTGTCAAGTGTCTGAGGTCACATCTGAACTCAGGTCCTCCTGACTCCAAGGCTGGACCTCTATCCACTGCACCACCTAACTGCCCCTAGAACTTACTTGTATAATGTGAGCCGATGTGTAAACTTGCCCAGTCTAGCTGGATGTGAAGATAGTTCTTCCACCTCTGAATCTTGGGGCTTTCAGGTTTAAGCATCATAGAACCTGGTACCATATCATCAGCAAAGCTGAAACAAACTGAAATAGCAAGTTTCAAACATCTTATAAAATAAAACAAAGAAATCTTTGAAGTTATTATTAAATCCTAATGAAATAGTTAGCAACTTTTAGATAACTCCTTAACAACCGAGTTTACAACCTAACAGTGTCCAGATTATAAGTGAAACCACTTTGTCTGACCATGTTGGTGTTAACCAAGATTCACACTATTAAGACTCTACCAGTTTAGCATTATAATTGTTATTATTAGGTTAGCTCAGAATATGCTGGACTAAATGTTATAAGCCGTTGCTGTTAAAAACCTCTCACTCTGATATTCTAAGTGGAGGGCTGGTAGGAAAATAGAATTTTTTGGGCCCAGGCAAAAAGCTCTAAAGAGTCAAGCCAAACTCGCACAGGGTGCCAGCCAAAATCCTTGAGAATTTTTATAGAACACAGAGAGTTAATACAGTGATTCCTGATTTGCTCAATACAAGGTATTATATAAGTCACAACTGAAATAGAACACTGAAAATAACAATAGCCAATATTTATGTAGTGTTTGACAGCGTGACCGAGAGAAGGCCCATGCTAAATACTCTGCAAACAGGAGTTTCTCCTCAAAGACCCTGAAAGGTGGGTGGGCTTGATTGCCAGACCTTAACTTCATTTATTGTAGTCTAAGAAGTTAAGGTTTCATAACCCTTAGGGCAGTGTGGTATAACAAGTAGGGATATGAATTGAATCTTCTTTGTAATTTATGGTTCTTAACTAAAGTTAAATGACTACTTTAAATTGTTAGCCGAGTTGGTAAAATCTTAGGGCTCTGCTTTTCACAGGTGAGGATACCTTAAGAAAGCTTTGCTTAACATCAGAGAAAACCATTATAGTTATCTTTCATGTTCTAAATAGTTACCAAACATGTTTACATCAGCCTTCTGACAACTGAACCTATAACCCTAAGAATAAAGGGTTTACTTTGCTTTTTTTTAAATCTTATTTAATATTTTTCTCACTTATACACATTTTTTCAAATTTTGAGTTCTAAATTCTCTCCCCCCTTCCCTTCCCCCCCCATTGAGATGGCACCACTTTGACATAGGTTATACGTGTATAGTCATCTAAAACACATTTCCATGTAAGTCATTCTGTGAAAGAAAACAGACCAAAAAAAGAAAGTAAAGAAAAAGTGTCTTTGATCTGCAGTCAGGCTGTACCAGTTCTTTCTCTGGAAATGGACAGCATCTTTCATAAGTCCTACAGAATTGTCTTAGACCATTGTACTGAGAGTAACTAAGTTACTCATAGTAGATCATCATATAATATTGCTGTTACTGTGCACAGTCTTCTCCTGGTTCTCCTCATTTCACTTTGCATCAGTTCATGTAAATCTTTCCATGTTTTTCTGAGAGTATCCTGCTCATCATTTCTTATAGCACAATAGTATTCCATTACATTTATATACCACAACTTGTTCAGCCATTCCCAAACTGATGAATATCACCTCAATTTCCAATTCTTTGCCACCACAAAAAGAGTGGCTATAAACATTTTTGTACACATAGATCCTTTTCTTTTTTGTTTTTTGTGTCTTTGGGATACAGACTAGTGGTGGTACTGCTTGGTCAAAAGGTATGTATGGTTTTATAGCCCTTTGGGCATAGTTCCAAATTGCTCTCTGGAATAGTTGAATCAGTATACAACTTCACCAATAGTACATTAGTATTTTAATTTTCCCACATCCTCTCCAACATTTGTCATTTTCCTTTTCTGTCGTATTAGCCAATCTGACAGGTATGAGGTAATAGCTCAGAGTTGTTTTAATTTGCATTTCTCCCATCAGTAGTAATTTAGA